AATAAGCTATGTATGTTTCTTTTATTATAAACAAAAATGTTTTGCCTTTCATTTCTAATTCTTTATCGTACATCACAGGACACAGAGCAGGCTATGCATGACTATGTGGGTTATATGCCACCTATAGTTGAATAGACTCTGGCAGATCAAACAGGAAGTCCTCCCCTATATAACTCCTCCTACACAGGAAGTACTTCAGTTTTTTTTGCCAGTGTCTTTAAGTAGGGTGGTCACTGATGTGCTCTTAGAGCATATCTGTTCTTCTGTGAATCAAGGACTGGAATTGGACATATTCAGAAAGCTGTTAACTAAAATGGATGATGGTATCTAAGCCTCATTGGATAGGCGAGAAGAGTCCTCAAGGTTTGCCTGTAATGCAGCCTTACAGTGCTGGACCCTGTGCAGTGGAAACCTGTGCAGTGTTTGTACTGATCAAGGTGCTTTCCAGCAGGATGCTATACAGGTCCAAGGGGTTGGAACCAGATGTAAAGGAGATAGAATCCTTGAAGGTATTTTATGGCAGAGCCCGCCATGATGGATGAACATTGGACTTGCTCTGGATTACTGGATGAACCGGTTGCACAGGTTGTGGTCAGGGTTTGGTCTGACAATGCCACGGCAGTGACCTATATCAAGCACCAGGAGTTGTGCAGTTCAGGAAAGGGTGAACTACATTCTGTCAGGAGCAGAACAGCAAGTGCCGTCTGTCGGCAGTACATATTCCAAGTATAGAAAACTGACAGGTTGTGTTTTTTGGGGGGGTTTTTTTTGTTTGTTTTTTTTTTTTTTCCCCCTGGAAGTCTGCAGCTAATACCGGGATAGTGGTCTCTACATTCCGAGACATTCTCGGCAATCTGCAAGCGTTGAGGAACTCTGGATGTGGATCTACTGACCTCCAGGTTCTACAAGACGTTAGTCAAGATGTGTACAGGATGAGCATCCCACTGGCAATAGGGGTATATGCACTGGTAACATCTTAGGGACCAGTTCTTCCTAATATATGCCTTCCCTCTGATTTAATTATTGCTGTGTCTTTTGTGCAGCATCGGGGAGGAGGTAACACTGATAATAATGGTAGCCAACCTAGCCCAGGGGGGTGTGGTACACCAAAATAGTGTATCTGGCAGGGGACACTCTTTCGACACTTCCAGTCCGACCAGACCTATTTGCTTGGGTCCAGTAATGTATCCTGCTTTATAATTGCTGGTATTGAAGGTTTGGCTTTTGAAGCCCAGGTCTGGAAGAATCGGGGTGTCTTGGGTCCTGTTTTTTCTTCTGCACTGTTGAGTGCTAGGAGGCCGGCTTCAGGGAGCTTCCATCACAGGACCTGGAATTCGTCCTGTCATTTTTTCCCCAGAGAGTGTTGTTTCTCACGCCTTGATTTGTGCAGGGTGTAACGTGGATGGTCCATCCTTGTGTCCTCGGGACTTGAACTTGGTCTTGGCTGCCCATGCAGAAGCTACCTTTTTAGAACTAGTTCACAAAACTTAATCCTTTGACTTGGAAGGAGGCTTCTTGGAATACTGTCACTTCGGCAGAAGGAGTGTCAGAGCTGGCAGCTCTTTCATATAAGGAGCCATTCTTGGTCTTGCATCATAAGGTGATGCTGCATCCTCATCCATCTTCTTGCCTAGAGTGGTTTCTAGTTTTCACTTGAATCAGGACATTGTATTGCCTTTGTTTCCTAGTCCACAGTCTGCAGGGTAAAGATGGCTGCATACTCTGAATGTAGTTCGGGTGGTCAGGATTTACTTGAGTTTGGCAGCACAGGTCAGGGAATCCTTGTTTGATCTGCCAGAAGGGCCCAGAAAAGGCAGGTGGCATCCAGAACAGCTATTTCCCATTGGATCTGCCAGTTAATCATTCATATCTATGGTTTGAACTATAAAGTACCACCCTTTCGGGTGAAAACGCACTCAACCGGGAGCGTGGGGGCATCTTGGGCTATCTGCTATCAGGGATCAATGGCTCAGGTTTTCAATGCAAGAGCCGCAAAGGATTCTGCCTTTGGCCGCAGTTTGTCTCGTACATCTGAATAAGACCTTTGGGATTGATGGTGGTCATTATGGTGTCACCCACCCCTCAGTTGTGTTTTTTTTTTTTTTTTTTGTTTTTTTTTTTATTGCTTTAGGACATTCCACATAGTCGGTAGAAAATTGGATTTTTTTCGACATGCTTACCTGTAAAATCAATTTCTTGGGAGTACATCACAGGAAACAGAGGTCCCTCCTATCTTTCTGGAATTTCATTGCTGCTTCAAAAACTGATGTACTTCAAGTGTAGGAGGGGTTATATAGGAGAGGAATTCCTGGTTTATTGATCTTCCAGTGTCCATCCACCTATAGGTGGCATATAAACCACATAGTCATGAATACCTGCTCTGTGTCCCGTGATGTACAATAAAGAAATGGATTTTACAGGTTAGTTTTGTAGAAAAAAAATCAAATTTTTATACTGCATGGTTTAAGGATTCACAAACTTTAAGCTGAGGAACTGGTAGAAAGCAAGTGTAAATTTTAAAGCTATGTCGAATATTTTAAACTTTCATGTTTGTAGAAGCTCTTTCTTCTTTTGGCTCCCAGATTGGCATCAGTGGCAAAGAACCAGGCAGGTCTAAAACTTGTTGCAAACAAAGCTTTTTAAGAGTTGGTGTTGGTTAAACATTGGGGGTTATTTACTAACTGGTACAAAATCTGGTGCAGTTCTGCATAAAACCAATCGGCTTCCAGGTTTTATTGTCAAAGCTTAATTTAACAAGCTGAAGTTAGAAGCTGGTGCATTGGTTAACCAATGCACCAGATTCTGAGTGCTCCAGTTTTAGTAAATCTCCCAGTGTTTAAAGAGTATGTACACCCAACATTTCATATTCCTGATATGTGCCTGCTGTACTTGTATGAGAAAGTGTCTTGTTTTCAATGTATTGCTTCCTTTGTGTGAAATCCTTTGTGTTCCTACCAGTCCCTCTGCTTTCCTATTTAACACTGATCACACTAGGCATGAAGGCACCATGGTCTGTACTCTAGCTGTGGTGGGAACTCAACCTTCTCCCCTCCAGTGATCATCCGACTTCTTCTAACATGTCTTCCCCCTTTTTCCTGCACAGCCATTCACTGGGAAATTCAGTGTGCTGCTGTTTCTCCCTCCCTTAGCTCTGTGATCCCAGCTGCGTAAGGAGCTCAGAGGTTTTGTGATCACGTATTAAAAAAAGGGGGAAAAGGGTATTTATAATTTTTTTTTTTTTTTTTCAGCTATACACATACACGTTTTTGCCTTTTTTTTTTTTTTTTTTTTTTTAAATGAATGGGTTGTTTTACAAGGTAAAGTTTTGCATATACTTAAAATCCAAACAAGATCTGAAAAGCTGAAAGCTTTTTCCACTTGATCTGCTTTTATGCTTCTGGAAGCACTGTCTCCCAGTTTGCCATCATGATTCCTAAATTCTAGATGAGCTTGGCCAGCACTGAAAAGAAACTAGCTAGATATGTCTGACCTTTTATTATACGCATACAATATACTGCATTTGTTTTAGGCTGTGCATTCATACGCCCTGGCAGCCAAACAGCTTGGCAACTTAGGGCACAATAGCAATAACAGACTGATAACCGCATACAATCATTCAGTTATTTCACCTTATTAAAAAGTGTGTGTGTGGTGTTATTGTGCAGAGAAATCATTAGAAATATCTAAATGTAGGTATACCTCCAGCATGCAGTCTTCCATAATTTCAAAGCAAAACTGTCACGCACCCTGATAAAGTAAACTTAATTTTTGATTGATGGACTAGGGCAGGGGTCCGCAACTACGGCACTCCAGCAGCTGTGGAGCTACAAGTTCCTTGAGGCAAAATTCAGACAGCCACAGGTATGACTTCTGGTGGCAGAGGGCATGATGGGATTTGTGTAGTTTTACCACAGCTTGACTGCCAAGGTTGCCTACCCCCCTTGGACTAGGAGGTGCCAGTTGGTGCTTTTATGTATATACTATTACTATAGTATGACCTGAGAGTCCCCAAACCCAGGCACTAGCAGTATGCAGCTTTTCAATTTTAAAAGCAATTCTTTAAAAAAAAAAAAAAAAAAAAAATGTTATACTTCCTTGTTTGTGCAATGATTTTGCACAGAGCAGCCCTCCTCTTCTCGGGTGCTCTGCCAGCGGTCCTGGCCCCTCCTGCCATGTGCCCCCACAGAAAGCAGCTTACTATGGGGGCACCCAAGCAACCTTGCTCCTGAGCTGCTGCTCTGTGTGTCCATTCGCAAGCACACACAGCTGTGTCGTCCCCTCTCCTCATTGGCTGTGGTTTACAGCAGTGGGAGCCAGTGGCTCCCGCTGCTGTCTCAGCCAGTGAGGAGGTAGAGTCCCAGGAGAGCCGAGGCTTTCGTGCACATCGCTGGATCACGATTGGGCTCAGGTAAGTATTAGGGGTATGTCTACTGCACAAAGAAGGTTCATGCACGAAGGTAAAAATTGCAATGGGTGCCTGAGGGCTCAGTATTGCACTTCCTTAAGAGATGAGGGAATAATGTGCTTCTGAATGAAGTCTTTGCAAAATTGAATGCTGTGGCGTTTAGGCTTTTTTAGCCTCTGAGAAGGTCCTGCAGCATTTGGCTTATCAAATAAAAGGCACCAATAGATACTTTGCAGAGCCAAGCCTACCTTTCAAAGGTAAACTTTCCTTTAATAAAAAATAGTCTTTTATACTTTGGAGAATAAAAAAAAAAAAAATGGACAATTTAAAAGTTCAAAGCAGAGAAAATCAGAGCCATAAATTAATATAAAGTTTTTAATGTGACTGTCTTCTGCACTTGGCCTAGGTAACAGACAAACTCTATAATCTCTTCATGATCCATGATCATATAGCAGACAAGGCTGACTTGTGCCGCTTTACCATTTGAGCTCTTTGTCCTTTCTTTCCCCCTTATATCAGTAGAATTCTGGCAGCAATGTGTGATACATAATAAATTGAATAATTTAACTAGTGCCTTCTCTTTCTTCTACCCAGCTCTGATCCTGCTCTTTTACCTGGTGTTCTATGGCTTCCTGGCCGGACTCTTCACCCTGACTATGTGGGTGATGCTGCAGACACTGGACGACACACTGTTCCTAAATATCGTGATCGGGTTTCCTCTCCAGGTAAGGCTGTAATTTCACACTGACATTGTGCATCTGTATGTATTCTTATTGATATGATGTGTCTAATGTTCATGTGTTTAGATCTCAGACTTTAGATACTCAGATCAGACAGTGTAATCTTTACAAACAAGTGTGGTAGAACCTTGGAACAGCAGAAGTCAAATGATTAGCAGGGTTGGAAATTGTTGGATTTCCTCTGTGTATTTTATTGCCCATGAAGAGATAAGTGAAGTGTTTTTACAACAGAATCATGTGTGTACACATGTCAACGCTAATGATTGACGATGGTCTAACTACCCTGCAAAGTGTAATATGTTTTGGCACTGCTTAAATACTGGATATGTGTAAGTACTTCTGTTAAGAGCTTGATTGCCTATTCTGTATTACAGAATGCTGTTCACAAATTGTGTGCGGCCTTTTGAACTGGAAGAGCTTTTCCTTTTCCTAGATTGCACTGTGACCTATGGAAAAAGACTGTACATAGGCTCGCTAACGCAACTGAATGAAGCGCACCTCCTTGTTAATTTTTTTTAAACGCTCTAAAGTAAAAAATCCAGTTGAATGGACAAGTAAACTCATGAAATACATGTTAATTTTTTTGCAGCTCTCTTCCAGGTACATGTGCGCTTTGTTCCATGTTTACAGCTTGTCTCAGTGGTGAGTTAGCAGAATCTCGTCTCGCCCCCTTCCACTGCCTTCTGACCATACATATAGCAAGGGGACGAATATTTCATTAAAGAAGGAATCTGGGCAAATTTTGTATTTTCCCATGCAGTGGGGCTTTTTTTTTTTTTTGTTTTTGTTTTTAGTGGGTCAGAAAGTAGATATACTTGCCTGATCCTCCGAGCACAAAACCTGTACCTGCCGCTTCTGCCCCCCTGCACGCTAGCGGTCTTGTGAATGGGGGTGTTCCTGACGTAATCACTCCCATAGATCGGCCCCGGAAGTAAGAATGATGGAACAGTCCACCACTGTACGTAGGGGAGCGCGGTTTTCCAGAGAATTGGAGGACTGGGTAAGGATAGTTTTACCCTGAGCCCCTAGCCAAAATGAGCACTTAACCCATGCAGTGTGGGCAGTTGCATTGCATGGGAAAATACAATTTTTAACCGGAGTTCTGCTTTGACTCTGACAGCGCTTGTATTGGAGCCAGGTGCTTCCCCCAAAACCAGCACTATCACAAAGTATGCAGGGTGAGGGGGCATATTGGTCCCCCTGTTCTGCCCTCTCTTTTTTTTTATTGGTCGGTAGGATGCAGGTGGCCCCTTAGTTGCTAGAATTCAGGCATCTGCCTGCACTGTAACAACCAATGACACCTGTATCTTATCAACCAAGGATGCTGGCATCAGGAACAAAAGATTCAAAGATGGGGTTAAACAGGAGAACTCGTTGGGATCCCTCTAGCTAGGACACCATCTCCCCCAAATGCACTTGCTGAACAGGGGGCAGTGGCAACTCCCACAAATTAAGCTTTTACCAGGAAAAGAGCAGAGAAGCTGGAAAGAGGGGATGGTCTTTACATTCCAATACTGTTTTATTGGAGAAGAGATTACAGGTTTCTAGACATAAACCTATCTATCTGTAATTAATTTTAGAATGCTAATGAGAGTTTTTGTTAAAGTGCACCATAAGTAGTTTATGCATTATAAACAATGTGTTCACAAGGCTTCGGAACCATGGGGATGATTATAGACTATTTTTCTTACAGCGGTACGTTTTGTGGCCCAGTGGACGTCACTGCTCCTTTTTTCTCCTAATGTGTTATACTAACACCTCAGATTACAAGCCTTCGCCCTAACCACCTTCTAGAAATGGCTTGTTAGAGTATGTCGGTAATGTCTCACACAGATTTTAGTTCCAGGTTTCATGTTCTGGTAATGTTGCCATCTAACACCCCACCACTTGAGATTGTTTGGACCCCTTTTGTGTTATAGTAAATATATCTTTTTTGTGTTGCTTTAATGGTGTAGGGGAGCTGCAACTCAGAAATTGCAGTTCCCAGAAACTGGGTTGCCATCTGAATGGAGGTGTTAAAAGGTGGAACCACGTGTAAAGATGGATAATTACCTTCTTGGGACAAAATATGGTCATCTTTTATTATATATATATATATATATATATATATATATTTATATATATATAATATATATATATATATATATATATATATATATATATATATATATATATTTATATATATATATATATATATATTTTTCATCATGTGTGTTTAATACCTCTGTGCATATTCTTCTTTCTGTATAGTTGTGTTAAAAGTTTACCTAACTAACCAGATTTCAGCTGTAATTTTACTTCTCCTGGTGAGATAGATTACTCTTTATTGGGTGCAAACTGCTATATTTTCTATTATTGCAGTATATTCTAGACAAGGCTGCACTGTTTATCAGAAAGCAGAACAACTTTGTCCGTAAATCTATTTTATGAAAAGAAAGGAGGAATGCTTGCTTAGACTGCACGGCTGAGCTTAATGGGAGGTTACATTTATTTGTCAAGTAAATAATGGACCATTCACATGTTCTTAACCTGTTATGTAAACTATTTTCTCTTCACAGTGCTGAGCTCTTGCTTGCAGAACCCATGGATTTGAGTTGTTCAGTATAACTGCATATTCGTTCCATGCAGGATATTGTATGTGAACACCTGTTAGATTTCCATCTGTTTATATTCTGATAGGGTTTTGATTGATCTTGGGACATTTATCAACGTAGCATAGATAATTTAACATTTGGACTGCCATTAATCTGATCACAACCTACAAAGCTGCAGACATTGAGAATTTAAAACAAATCCTTCTATAAAACAAAAAAAAAAAATGGGAGATTGTATCATTTTTTTGTAGGCCTCTTTCAGGTATCCATATATAGCTAACTATACTGCTAAGGTGCCTGCAAATACCTGCTTTCATCTTCAAGCCTAATTCCACATTTAGCACTAGTTCACACTGCTGTGACTTCAGGTGTGACATGCGATTTTAAAAATCGCACCTAAAGGCGCATCTAATGCATTTCTGTGTGTCTTAATGTGCCATTTCAATTAATGCAACTTGAAACATAGTTCCTGCATTACTTTTTCACCACTTCTTCACTCCATTTAACTCTCATAGACCTTAAGGTAAATGGCACCAAAATTGCATCTGTGTCTATCAGCTCTACTATTTCACTTTAAATGGGACCAAAGCGCACAACTTTGAAATCGCATTCAGTGTGAACCAGGGCTTAGTGTGTATATATATTTGTTTTTAAATAGTTTGTTTGGGCCAAGCTGCCCATTTACTGCACTAGCAGGTGCTCTTGCGGGGATTGCTGTATTACCTGTGTATAGCCCCAGCTACATCCAGTATATACAGCGTTGTGTTCAGGCAGTGGGACAGGAACTTTCCATCCAACTCCTGAAACAAAATAGAGTCAGGATCTTTGTATTCTGTGAACGAATAGGAAGCTTCTTCTGATTGGCTCAGGCGGAGTTTGCGATATCATCCACTTGTCATCTGCACATATAAAGCTTCCCGTGAATGGCTGAGCAGCACTCAGCCTGACTCTATTTTGTTCTGGGTGTGGGATGGTAAGTCCCCTTCCTAATGCTGGAACACAAACGTTGTATACAGCTGAGTCTACATTCAGTTAATACAGCGCACCCAGCAAGCACACCTATTAGTGCAGTAAATAGTTTGTTTGGGTCAGCTTGGCCCAAACAAACTTTTTTTAAAAGGATGGTTAAATGTGGCGTTAGGCTTTTAACATACATTTCGTTGTTTTGATGAAGGACCCTATATACAGGGCTCACCTTTTGGATAAATCCGCTCTATACTCCACCCCTCCATTGGGTGCTCGAACACCTGTGCCACTATTGTCCAGTGGTGATTTGGCATTGAGCTGTGAAAAGACTGGAAGGGCCTGAGCCTAGCACAGGTAGGGTGCTGGGCTTTATACCCTGATATACTAGACTTGGATACCTTGTTGTGGAAACCCCTAGCTGTCCTTGCTGCTATGCCTGCAAACTGAAGGAACAGGGCTTTTCCCAGGGATTGACTGCCATTCTGTTGCTAATTGTGAGCACCATTCTACATGAGAAATGTTTTTTTTTTTTAGTTCTATTTGCTCCTGCGTTGATTAATGTCTCTTGAATTAATTTTTTAATACATGTAATGTGTATGTTATACATTATATGTATATAATATAATCAGTTCTACAGATAAGACTTTCTGTATCTCACTGGGCACTAATTGTTTTGTCTGCTCTTATTAGTTCACTACCCCTTCTTTGGCTCTCATCCTTCATTTTTTCTTTCTTCATCAGTCGAAATTCAACTGCTCACAGTTTTATCCCAGCTATAGCTGAAGTGAGGTTCACCGTGTTACAGGCTAAAATGATTTTGTTAGACATGATAAAAAAAAACCTAATATATTCAGTAATATTATGGATGGAATATATTAGGCTCTGTAGGAATATGTCAACTAAACTTCCAGGTTTGCACACCACTTTTTCAGAGGCCTAGGTCTCCTCCAGGCCCATTCAGCTGTTCTGCTGCCCAGGTCTCCTTCAGGCCCATTCAGCTTTTGTGCTGCCCAGTTCTCCTCCATGCCCATTCAGCTTTTGTGCTGCCCAGGTCTCCTCCAGGCCCATTCAGTTTTTTTGTGCTGCTCAGGTCTCCAGGCCCTTTGAGCTGTTCTGCTGCCAGGTCTCCTCCAGGCCCATTGAGCTGTTCTGCTGCCCAGGTCTCCTCCAGGCCCATTGAGCTGTTCTGCTGCCCAGGTCTCCTCCAGGCCCATTGAGCTGTTCTGCTGCCCAGGTCTCCTCCAGGCCCATTGAGCTGTTCTGCTGCCCAGGTCTCCTCCAGGCCCATTGAGCTGTTCTGCTGCCCAGGTCTCCTCCAGGCCCATTGAGCTGTTCTGCTGCCCAGGTCTCCTCCAGGCCCATTGAGCTGTTCTGCTGCCCAGGTCTCCTCCAGGCCCATTGAGCTGTTCTGTGCCCAGGTCTCTCCTCCAGGCCCATTGAGCTGTTCTGCTGCCCAGGTCTCCTCCAGGCCCATTGAGCTGTTCTGCTGCTGCCAGGTCTCCTCCAGGCCCATTGAGCTGTTCTGCTGCCCAGGTCTCCTCCAGGCCCATTGAGCTGTTCTGCTGCCCAGGTCTCCTCCAGGCCCATTGAGCTGTTCTGCTGCCCAGGTCTCCTCCAGGCCCATTGAGCTGTTCTGCTGCCCAGGTCTCCTCCTAGGCCCATTGAGCTGTTCTGCTGCCCAGGTCTCCTCCAGGCCCATTGAGCTGTTCTGCTGCCAGGTCTCCTCCAGGCCCATTGAGCTGTTCTGCTGCCCAGGTCTCCTCCAGGCCCATTGAGCTGTTCTGCTGCCCAGGTCTCCTCCAGGCCCATTGAGCTGTTCTGCTGCCCAGGTCTCCTCCAGGCCCATTGAGCTGTTCTGCTGCCCAGGTCTCCTCCAGGCCCATTGAGCTGTTCTGCTGCCCAGGTCTCCTCCAGGCCCATTGAGCTGTTCTGCTGCCCAGGTCTCCTCCAGGCCCATTGAGCTGTTCTGCTGCCCAGGTCTCCTCCAGGCCCATTGAGCTGTTCTGCTGCCCAGGTCTCCTCCAGGCCCATTGAGCTGTTCTGCTGCCCAGGTCTCCTCCAGGCCCATTGAGCTGTTCTGCTGCCCAGGTTCTCCCAGGTCTCCTCCAGGCCCATTGAGCTGTTCTGCTGCCCAGGTCTCCTCCAGGCCCATTGAGCTGTTCTGCTGCCCAGGTCTCCTCCAGGCCCATTGAGCTGTTCTGCTGCCAGGTCTCCTCCAGGCCCATTGAGCTGTTCTGCTGCCAGGTCTCCTCCAGGCCCATTGAGCTGTTCTGCTGCCCAGGTCTCCTCCAGGCCCATTGAGCTGTTCTGCTGCCCAGGTCTCCTCCAGGCCCATTGAGCTGTTCTGCTGCCCAGGTCTCCTCCAGGCCCATTGAGCTGTTCTGCTGCCCAGGTCTCCTCCAGGCCCATTGAGCTGTTCTGCTGCCCAGGTCTCCTCAGGCCCATTGAGCTGTTCTGCTGCCCAGGTCTCCTCCAGGCCCATTGAGCTGTTCTGCTGCCAGGTCTCCTCCAGGCCCATTGAGCTGTTCTGCTGCCCAGGTCTCCTCCAGGCCCATTGAGCTGTTCTGCTGCCCAGGTCTCCCAGGCCCATTGAGCTGTTCTGCTGCCCAGGTCTCCTCCAGGCCCATTGAGCTGTTCTGCTGCCCAGGTCTCCTCCAGGCCCATTGAGCTGTTCTGCTGCCCAGGTCTCCTCCAGGCCCATTGAGCTGTTCTGCTGCCCAGGTCTCCTCCAGGCCCATTGAGCTGTTCTGCTGCCAGGTCTCCTCCAGGCCCATTGAGCTGTTCTGCTGCCCAGGTCTCCTCCAGGCCCTTGAGCTGTTCTGCTGCCCAGGTCTCCTCCAGGCCCATTGAGCTGTTCTGCTGCCCAGGTCTCCTCCAGGCCCATTGAGCTGTTCTGCTGCCCAGGTCTCCTCCAGGCCCATTGAGCTGTTCTGCTGCCCAGGTCTCCTCCAGGCCCATTGAGCTGTTCTGCTGCCCAGGTCTCCTCCAGGCCCAGAGCCCAGGTCTCCTCCAGGCCCATTGAGCTGTTCTGCTGCCCAGGTCTCCTCCAGGCCCATTGAGCTGTTCTGCTGCCCAGGTCTCCTCCAGGCCCATTGAGCTGTTCTGCTGCCCAGGTCTCCTCCAGGCCCATTCAGCTGTTCTGCTGCCCAGGTCTCCTCCAGGCCCATTCAGCTGTTTCTGCTGCCCAGGTCTCCTCCAGGCCCATTCAGCTGTTCTGCTTTAACTGTCCCCACAGGTTTTGTATGAATATTCTACCACCAGAAGGTTCAATCCTTTTTAGGGACATTAGGTAGATTTTTAGGAGACGCGATAGAGCCCAGCTCACTTTAACAATATAACCTATTTAGAGAAAGCATCACTTGCAATGATGGGAATAGAAGCCATTGCTAAAATAGCAAGCGACCACCTATTCTGGTCAGAAGATCAAGCCGGTGTGCAAAGCTGATCACCCTCAGTGAGTGTTTTTATAGGTTAAAAAAGGATTCCTAAAATCCAGCTCTGCTCATGTAATGGAGTGTACCTGAGCAAGACAGCTTTGTACCCAGACAAAAGCAATAGCCAAGCCCAAGACATAATCGTTTAAAGGCTAAGTTCACCTTCGGCTCCATGTTACATGGTACACCCGTATTTAGTTGTAGATATGATCAGGAACCAATCTAAATGGTATCACCTTTCTCAGCAATGATCTAGTGAACATATGCAAGAAGGCTACATTAGGAAAAAAAAAAAGTTTTACCATGCATTGTGCTCTTTGGTTAATTAAACCATCACAGGGTGTAACTGGTAAAATACCATTTAAGGCTGGCCATACATTATACAATTTTCTGTAAAATTTCTGCCCAATTTCATTTAGATTTATCTTCAACTTTGTAGTGCAAGAGCCTGCCTAATTGGATACAATTGAAAGTGCTAGGTTTGATCTCATATTATATGGTTTTTGGTAAATCTAAACCAAAAATCTCAAGCAAATTGAACCATGTATGGCCAGCCTAAGTCAGTCTTTCATGATTGCGATTTATAATGGCCCAGTCTAATACACCAAAATGTTCTCACAACATATAGAAATGGGTACCTGAAAGAAATGCTGGAAAATGGATCACTTTACTCTGCATACATTAAAGTGGTTCTGAAGGCAGAAGGTTTTTTTTACTTTTAATGCATTCTATACATGAAGGTAAAAAAAAAAAAACACCTGGGTCCAGCTAGAGGTTTTGCAGGAAAATAAAATCTAAGAATCGCTGCTGACAGGACACTGCTTTGCTTACATAGGCAGAGCTGTGCCCTGTCACTCTCCTCAACAATCAATGGGTGCTGTTGCTCATCTTTTGGCTGGCACCTGTTGATCGGCTTCTGTGTGTCCAATCACAGCAGACGCGGTGCTTCGGTAGCGTGCACGCGCCCCCTACATCAGAAGTTCAAAATCACATTTATACACGCGATTTTGAACAGAACGTCTGCCCTGAAGCAGTAGATCTGCTATAGGGCAGACAAAGTGGTTAAAAAAAAATGTACAACCTTTAGAATCACTTTAAGCATGTGATATGCTGACATTGCTTGCAGTGAGCAGGTCAGTAGACAAGACTCAATCTGAGAATACAGAGAGGAATAGAGCTGCTGCTTATCCTTTCGTTGTCTTTTCGTCCTATATTACCGACCATGGGGCTTGCAGCCTGATCTAGTGTGACCATGTGTGCAATCTTAAATGCCATGTGCTCCATGTGTTTTTCTCTTCACTGATCCGTAAACCCTTTAGGTTGAATAAATTGAATTACCTTGTAAGAGATGAATAGCAGGATTTTGTCTTTAAAAATAGATAGGCCAGATGATGGCTCTGCTATAATCTCTGTAGTCCACGTGATTGAGTTTATAAACTTCCTTTTACCTGTTTTTCAGCCTTTGCTTTCTTGAAAACCTCCTGACAACAGGCCCAGTGTGCCCTGTGCGTCAATCCACACCTTCCCCCGTGATGGCAAAAAAAGCTTTTCATACTGAAATTCCACATTACCCTGTCAGTGTGCTGGCCTGACACATAGTGCTTTGTGAGCCCTGTCTCCTGAGGGCTCCACCTCCTGCTGGCACTGTCACTGGTTGCACGCAACTTGTGTACAACTGATTTTGATTTTTTTTTTCCCATGTCTGTCCTTTGTGTCTGTTGTCACCACTCATTGCAAATTTTGTTTAAATAAACCTTGGTTTTACCCTGTTGGTAAAAATTGTTTGGTCTCTTGTCTGTATTATTGTATTTTTCAGTGAATGAAACCAATGGAAATCAATGTCTTTCTACATTGGGAGATGGGTTTAATGTAATCAGGGTGTGATCAGTGTGATTTAATGCTATTATACTTTATTGAAGGTATTGTTTGTCAGCAGAATTCTCATTTGTTTCCCCTTTAATTCCAGGTCTTATGATTTCCCCTAAATCAGCCGGATTGGAACTCACTTTTAGTAAAGGCGAAAAGAGTTCATATGACGGCTATGTGAGAGCTCTTCATGCTTTCCTAACGCGTAAGTATAATCTCACAATTATAAGTGAGAGGTCTTGCTATTGGAATTTGTTTATAGGCTGTCTAATTGGACTGAACATTCTAGTATACATAGATGTTGCTGCTCAGTCATTCTGTAGTCTTTAGACATACACCAATCTGTCATAACTTTGACAACCTACCTAGTATTGAATAGGTTCTTTTTTTGCAGCCAGGACAGCCCTGGCCTGTTAAGTTATAGAAACCACTAGACCTCTGGAGGTTTGCTGTGGTATCTGGCAATAAGCCATCAGTAGCAGATCATTTAAGTCCTGTAAGTTGCAGGTTTTCCAGCACATCCTAAAGATGCTTGAATTGATTGAGATCTGGTGAATTAGGAGGTCAAGTCAACACTTTGAACTCATTGTGTTCCTCAAACCATTTTTGCAGTGTGGCAGGACACATTATCCTGCTAATAGGCCACAACCATCAGGGAATGTGGTTTCCGTGAAGGGGTGTACTTGGTCAGCAACAATGTAGCTCTAACTAGCAGGGCTCTCTGAGCCCTACAGTATGAAATTGTATTGTAAATGTACTGTCTGCCCTTGTGTTGTAAAGCGCTGCACAAACTGTTGGCGCTATATGAATCCTGTATAATAATAATAATAATAGGTGGTACATGTCCAACAACAACCACCTAAATGGTAGGAGCCAAGGTTTTCCAGCAGAACATTGTCCAAAGCATTACACTGCCTCCGCTGGCTTGCCTTCTTCCCATGCTGTATCTCAGTGCTGTCTATTCCCCAGGTAAGTGACTCACCTGTCCAGCCACATGTCAAGGAAAATGTGATTCATTAGACTAGGCCACCTTCTATTGTTGCTCCATGGTCCAGTTCTGATGCTCACTGACCATTGTGTCCACAGCCAAAAGCGCCTACGGGTCACCCTGACCGGTATGCGGCTACGCAGCCCTATACACCGCATACTGCGATGCCTATTTTTTTTCTGCTTTTAGCACATCAATTTCATGGGCAACAGGTTTACTTGCTGCCCAATATATCCCACGGACTTTCGCATGCCATTGTAATGAGATAATCCATGTTATTCATTTAACCAGTCATTGGTTGACCAGTATATACACTGCTCAAAAAAATTAAAGGAACACTTTTTAATGAAAGTATAACATCAAGTCAATTAAACTCCTGGCATATTGATCTGGTCAATTAAGTAGCAGAGGGTGTTAATCCATTTCAGCTGCTTTGGTGTTAATGAAATTAACAGGTGCACTAAATGGGCAACAATGAGACTACCTCCAAAACAGGAATGAATTCACAGGTGAAGGCCAATTATGTTTTTTTCCCCTACTCCTCTTTTCTGACTGTTTTTCACTAGCTTTGCATGTTGCTTGACTAGGGTCAGTGCCACTACTGGTAGCATGAGGTGATACCTGGACCCTACAGAGGTTGCACAGGCAGTCCAAATCCTCCATGATGGCACATCAATACATGCCGTTGCCAGAATGTTTGCTGTGTCTCCCAGCTCAGTCTCAAGAGCATGAAGGAGATTCCAGGAGACTGGCAGTTACGCTAGGAGAGCTGGACAGGGCCGTAGAAGGTCCTTAACCCATCAGCAGGACTGGTATCTGCTTCTTTGTGCAAGGAGGAACAGGATGAGCAGTGCCAGAGCCCAACAAAATGACCTCCAGCAGGCCACTGGTGTGAATGTCTCTGACCAATCAGAAACAGACTTCATGAGGAGGGCTTGACGTCCTCTAGTAGGCCCTGTGCTCACTGCCCGGCACCATAGAGCTTGAATTGGCACTTGCCATTGAATACCAGAATTGGCAGGACCACCACTGGCGCCCTGTGCTTTTCACAGGTGAGAGCAGGTTCACCCTTAGCACGTGACAGTCGTAAAAGGGTCTTAAGAAGCCGTGCTGCCTGTAACATTCAGCATGACCATTTTGGTGGTGGGTCCAGTGATGGTCTGGGGAGGCATATCCATGGAGGGACGCACAGACCTCTACAGGCTATACAATGGCACCCTGGCTGCCAATCAGTATTGGGATGAAATCCTTGGACCCATTGTCTGACCCTACGCAGGTACTGTGGGTCCTGAGTTCCTCCTGGTGCACGACGATGCCTGGCCTCATGTGGCGAGAGTATGCAGGCAGTTCCTGGAGGATGAAGGACTTTATACCATTAAATGGCCTATAGAACAATAGAACACCTCTGGGATATCGTGTTTCAGTCCATCTGACGCCACCAGGTTGCACCTCAGGCTGTCCAGGAGCTCAGTGATGCCCTGGTCCTGATCTTGGAGAAAATACCCCAGGACACCATTCGTCACCTCATTAGGAGCATGCCCCTATGTTGTCAGGCATGTATACAAGCATGTGGGGGTCATACAAACTACTGAGTACCATTTTGAGTTGCTGCAATGTAATTTCAGCAAAATGGACTAGCCTGCTGCATCATTTTTTCACTTTGATTTTCAGGGTGTCTTTGAATTCAGTCTTCTGTAGGTTGTTAATTTTCCATTCCCTCAACCGATGTGGCATCCTTGCGTTCCTAACACATTACCCAAAAAACAGAAAAAAACTAATGGGACTTTACTGGTACAAAAAAAAACGGACAACCTCATGTTACTGTATAAAACATGTTTATTGAAACACATCTTCTATACATTTTCCATAAAAACAGTATTTGGCTAGTCAGCCCAATAAATCACAGCATTATGTATTATGACATCAAAGTCCTCCAGAGGTTGACGCGTTTTGCTTATTAGCTTCCTCAGGATCCCAAAAGATTGGAGGCAAGGAAGTCCAATGCCCTAACTGGAAGATGCATACATACAACATTAGTCATACAATTGTGATTATTTCAGAAATCTTACGAAAAGAAACCTTCTCCACAGACTAACATGTCAACATGAGCGGTGATATAGGGTAGCGGCATCCACACAGCGGTCAAGATGGTCATGGATGAACATCCATACACAAGGCTACCTCCCCTTGTGACCAATGAAAACAAGCCCTGTAGAAAGACCATCAGATCATGTTCCGTTCCAAGACAAAAAATCCCAAATATGGCTCACAATAAATGACTCACTGGCAAAAGAGGCAGACAGCAGATCTAGCCACGTGCCGATGTCATTCACATGTAATGCATCCTGTACATAGCAATCTAGATATAAAAATAAAAAATCAGTGGGAATATCCATATTCCACACCATCATAATAATACTATCCAGTATCCAATGATCAAACTCCTACTCATACCTGGTTATCCCATCACAAAGATAGATGTAGGTAAGGTCCACCATCGGACACTAATTGGGCAATATCGTTAGATTGCTTTAATGTCCAGTAACTCTTCTGTGTCAGTCATTAAGATCCTCCACATATGGTTCCTGTAATCGCATAATCTGGCCATACTCTATAACATCCCCAACTGAAACTCCTCCATACATTCAAATTGGCATCTGTCATACCTATAATACACCGTATAAAGTCAATCACCCTCTGTGTGTGTCTTTCCCCTCTGGCACCAAAAATGTAATCTGTCGGGGCATTTAAAAGATGTAATCAATTAAGGCCAACAGAACTGCCCAAGTGATCCATCCCGCGGCAAGCGCGCATCACGAATGCACGTCTGTCACTTCCACCCTTACAGGCCATTGAGCGGAAATGCATCATCACACCTTGAGAGCGTCCATGACACTTGTGCGCTCTCCTCAACAGACCCCACAGCCTCAACTTTATGCTCCTATAGAACGACCCTAACCGCAAAAAAATAGCGACACGCAATGGCCAAACAAAGCCACCACTTGGCTGCCACCACTTCAAATCCCCCACCTTGGTAGACCCAGGGCCAATTATGGTCCAGTGTACTAGATATTATCCATAGCCGAAGGTTCCCAATTCATACATCGATCACCAGTATCATGGACAGAATTAAGTACCAATTAACTGTATTTAACTCGATGAATGGGCCAAGGGCACAAATATCTACCCAAGCCAGACCACCAATAGATGCTGCAATCCCCAGAAAAAACACCCCCACATGACACATGTTACATCAATATGGAAAATCATTGTTTATCACAAAAAAGATTAGACCAACATAACTTTAGCCCCACATCAAAATTCTCACAAGTAGGATTTATGGTAACAACAAGGGTTATATGACTATAAAAAACCACATTGCATAGTCTTGTCGGGAGATCACCATATATATCCTGAGAAAACACACTGAACATACACAGCAAATATTATCCATCTTATTAAAATTGTGTATAGCTTAATGCCTCATTAAGGCCAGGGGGGCCTTAATGAGGCATTAAGCTATACACAAATGAGGCATCCATCTTGCCTCTTTTTGCAATACCTTTTGATCAAAATTTCCACCCCGTGGATCCTCCAAAAACCCTTTCCAGGTCTGCAAATCATATGATATCTGTGTTATGATTATGTTTCAGAGCCACATATCTTCCAATAGGTGTGTAAAGCAGATTCCTTCTAATATAGTAAATGTGGTCATATATCCTTCTCCAAAAGTATCTAATAATTTTACCCACATAAAAGGCACCACATCTACATAACATAATATATACCACACCTTTTGGTTTGGCAATCCACAAATTGCCTGATTCTGTGTGTTCTCCCATTAGGTAAAATTATAGATGTCCCCTCCAAAATCCACGCAGAGTAGTCACATGATCCACATTTAAAAGTGCCCTTTTTTTTTCTTCCTCAATGTTAGATGGCCTGTCCTGAAAATGACTCCTGACAAGGCAGTCCTTGAGTGATTTAGATCTTTTAAATTTGGGGACAATCCCTAATATATTTGTTTATAATAGAGTCCTCAGTCAATAGATGCCAATGCTTCTGTATGGCATCTCTAATTTTCTGGTGCTGATTAGAAAAAAGTGGTAACAATCCTAACCAGATCCTGTTGAATACCTTCCCGTTTCCCAAACAGCAAAGTATGTCTCGTCTATAGTTTTGCCCTATTGTAGGCCCTTTTAAGGACCGTCTTTTGT